GACTGACTGTGCTCTGCCCTGGACCAACCCGCTGGGGTGGGGGCTTTGGGGGAGCACACGGACAGAACCTCTGGGCTAACGGGCCTCGGACAGCCGGTGTGGTGGCCGAGGGGGGCCGGCACGGGTGGGGTTCTGCTGGGGTTTGTGCCCTGGTCACTCAGGGCCTGTCTGTCCCATGTCTCCTAGAAGCCTCCGTGGGTGGCTGGAGAGCTAGCCGGGTCACGGCCCCACCAGCGCCCCGAGTCGCTCGGAAGGCTGCGGAGCCACATGGTTTTGTAGGGAGTTAGTGGCTGGCTTGCAGCCAAGGCCTGACGCACATGTGGGAGAAAGGCGCTCTTGGCTACCGCCTGGGCAGCCTGGGGCTGAGCGCTGGGCCTCCATGGGGACCCCAGCCCTAGCGGGGAGGCAGTTCAGCTTTCCCGTCCTGCCATACCCCGTGCCCCCGGACGCAGCAGCGGGGAAGCCCGTGCTGGGCCTGTGCGGCCTGGAGCCGCCCCTTGCTGCCTGGCCCCGTGCTGGGCCTGTACGGCCTGGAGCCGCCCCTTGCGGCCTGGCCCTGTGCGGCCTGGAGCCGCCCCTTGCGGCCTGGCCCCGTGCTGACTGCATCTGACCCACTCTCCTCCTGCTCGGTTCCAGCAAGTCAAGTCGATCGAGAGGTTCCTGCGCAGGCTGGAGTTCCATGCCAGCAAGGTAAGGGCGACCTGCCTGGGGGGTGGGGGGCGCCCCTCACGTCATGTGGCTCTTATAGGCATGTGGGGGGCGTCTTTCTCCCTCTACATACTTCAGTGCTTCTCAAAGCTGGGATTACCCTGAGTGAGGGACAGTCCGTCCCTCCCCTCCCGCCCACTGCTGCCCCGGGCTCCCCTCCCCCCCCACTGCTGCCCCAGTTCCCCCCCACTGCTGCCCCGGCATCTGGAGGCGCGGAGGTGGAAATGAGGGGAGTGCGGAAGGGCCCCTCAAGCGCTGCGCCCAGCCCCTCACTGTGGCGCTGCGGCTCTCGTTGCAGATCGACGAGCTCTACGAGTCGTACTGCATCCAGCGGCGGCTCCGCGATGGGGCCCACAACATGGTCAAGGCCTACACTGCCGGCTCCCCGGGCAGCCGCGAGGCACGGGACAGCCTGGCCGAGGCCAGCAAGGGCTACAAAGAGTACACCGAGGTAGGGGGGCCGGGCGGGGCGCGGGGGGGCCGAGTGGGGAGGGGCTGGAGCCTGTGGCTAACAGGTGCTCTCGTCCCTTCTGTCCCCAGAACATGTGTCTGCTGGAGAGCGAGCTGGAGAGCCAGCTGGGGGAGTTCCACGTCAAGATGAAAGGTACCTGCCCC